CCCAATTTACGTACTGTAAAGTTTCTAAATATATTTTAGCCCTCTTGTTAGGTTATTCTCAATTCTCAGTATATTATGTAGAAGTTGAATAAAGTATTTTTTGCACTGATAACGTCAAGGTCACTAATAAACCCAATAGAACTATGTCAGTATCATATTTCCCCGAAAGGGGCCGCAGCCCGGACGGATCACCTGCTATAACCACTGGCATCTATTATATAGTAGTATGTTGTCTGTCAGTAGACACTAAAATGACGTCACACAAGAGTTGCTTAACGTTGCAATTTGTACTCTCGTGACGTCAGTAAAACGTGCGTATGCCATGAACCACGATAAGAATTATGCACTCTGTAAGTTACAACATGACATAATTTCAAAAGCAAGAAATCAATAATTGTTACTCGTAATTTTGGTTTTATTTACTCTTGAAACAAAACTTTCAGGGACCCTGCGCAAGTACATCTATTCTCTTGGTTCTTTAATTGTCTAGTTTTATTATTTGTTAATTCTATAGAAACTTCAACACTTCATTACCTCATTCTTATCCTTTTGTCTAATAAAAGGAAGAGTTGCGAGGTATTTGTAAAAATGTAACACATTTTAAAGCAGCTTGTTAGGCCAGTTTATGGGATTATTAAGTCTTTTTCGTGCTCCTCACAAATTTCATCTTCCATTGTCATTTCATTTATTTCTAATTGTCACGATTCTGGTCATTCTGTTTTTTCCTTTCTCTATACCATTTTCATTATCAGATAAAAACTGAGCCTGAATTTCTTCAGGGTACTTTTCATCATTTGAAGACTATGATGGACAGTGACCGACTTCCCAACTGTAAACATTTGCACTCATTTTGTTTCTTTGTTTAGTATGTACTGATCTTTAAAGGATTAGTTCCCCACAGTGCAAAGAAGAAACATAAGAATGGTGGGTACAGTGACTAAGAAAAGGAGGGGGCGGAGAAGTGGTATAGGTCTTTAATAAATAAGAGAAATTTCCACAGTAGAAATTACATCTCTTATGGTTTTTGCAACCAAATGGATTGTGTCTTGAATGAAAATGAGGCAATTGTGAAAGAAGACTACTGGTAATAATGAATTTTGTAACTGGCCACGACTTTAATGAGGTCAGATCATATATTAAATCCTTTGTTAATAAGCTGGAGTAATCAGTTGTTTGTATAATTCTGGGACATTGACATTCATCTGTTTCTTCTCAACTTTTCTGCTATATCATGTGTATTTTGTCGTATGATGAGAAGTTCTTGCTTGGCACCAAAAATTGGAAATGCATGTGCTTCCATCCTTTCAGTTAGTTAACTACAGGTTGGAAGAAGTTGGAGTTTCTCACCCAGAATACATTTTCATCGAGAATATCAGTTTGGATCTTTATAGAACATCTACCAGAGGCTATTTCTTCCACGCCTGCTATTGCAGAGTTTTCCTGCAGGCTTGAAGATGTCTGAAGCAGTGGACGAAGCACATTGAATAATAAGGTAATGGTGAAGTCGATCCTTCAAACCGGATATTGGCACTTGTTTGTGTAAACATGATGACAGTATTTTCAAATTACTATCATCATCGATGAATAGCTGCATTGTATGTCACACACACCCACAGTATTGGAAGTGGGTTTACTCATTCTTTATCACATCTCAGTTGATCTACTCACTGACCCGCATTGTCTTGTCTCATTACTTCCCAAGTGGTATTCCTATTGGCTACATTGTCTGTCTCATTACTTCCCAAGTGGTCTTCCTATTGGCTACATTGTCTGTCTCATCACTTCACAAGTAGTCTTCTTATTGGCTGCATTATCTGTCTTATTACTTCCCAAGTGGTCTTCCTATTGGCTACATTGTCTGTCTCATTACTTCCCAAGTGGTCTTCCTATTGGCTACATTGTCTGTCTCATTACTTCCCAAGTGATGTTCCTATTGGCTACATTGTCTGTCTCATTACTTCCCAAGTGATGTTCCTATTGGCTACATTATCTGTTGTATCACTTCACAAGTAGTCTTCTTATTGGCTGCATTATCTGTCGCATCATTTCACAAGTAGTCTTCTTATTGGGTGCATTATCAATTAATGGACACTACTTTGGATGGCCTCAGCTTAACAATACTGTTCCAAATTGATTTGTAATGTAATTTGTAGCGTGTCGAAATTCATAGGTGCTATAAATTAAATAAAGGACCGACTGTGGACTGGTGCTATAAATTTATTGCTTCTTCATTGCATACATCACTTCGGCCATCAGGTCATCACGCTGACCTGAGGGGAATTCATGATTGGGTTATATTCATTAGACCTAAGGAAGTGCTATAATTCATGATTGTGATACTAATCTCCTATTGGGTATCTGTGTTTTCAACGCTAGAAGGTTTCTCGCTAGCTTGGGTACAGCTTCTAAAATAAGGTCAACATATTTGGTCTTTGAACAATGCGGAATAGGGTAAAACAAACGTTATTTGTCAAGGAAGATTCTGTGCATTAATTCAATTGTCACATTTACGAAGATTTCAACAGGCGTGCTCTGCAAATTCAGTAGTGATCAGTTTACTACTGTAGTTGCAGGAGCCATAGGAGAGACAGCACGACCAGTATTGTTTGACCTGTTGCTTCTCCTTCACAGTCGCACACTCAACTGAATAGTCGTTCTAGCTTTTAACTGTTTTCCCATCTTGATGGCGAATAAAAGCTTCCAAAACATAGCTTTGTTTTGTTTGTTCAGAAACAAAATATCAGTACAAAACTCAGTCTTCACGGTAAAAGCTGGTGCAGGTTACTCAATGTAATCAGAACTTACACTTTCACTGAAAGTAAGAATTACTTCTTATCTGTACTTTCTAATAACACCCACTCTTCTTTTATATAGAACGGTGTTTGAATGCGTAACTAATGAATTTCTTTTAGGGAAAATGTTCAACCAATAGCAGTAGTTTCAGAATCTATTTCAACCAATATACACTCAGTTCCAAAGAAATCCAACCAATCGAAATGAAATTCAAACTCGCCAGTGAATAAATATCAAACCTTCACATATATTTAAGTTTTTTTAATTTTATTTAACCATGTGGAATAACATAACTCCAGTAAATAGTCCCCCCCTTCAGTGCCTCATCGGTAAGTCTGAAAACTTATAACCGGGTTTCGATACCCCACTGATTGTCCATTGTGCAGCTTTGCGCCTACAACAAACAAACCAATAGATTTGAAACCTAATAAAAAATCATATCTCTTGCAAAAATTGAAAAGTGGAAAATTATCTATATGATACAAGTTATTTTTAATATAATTACCATTTACAGCTATAAGACTACCTTAAGTCGTGATTTTCTACATCATTAATTAATAATAAAGCATATTGGTACCATACAACTGTCATGTTAAATCCGTTTGCTATGGTTAGGTTATACTCGTTAGGGGCCCGGCATGACCAAGTAGATAGGGCGCCTGACTCGCAATTTGAGAGTTGCCTGTTCGAATCTCCGTCCCGCCAAACACGCTCGCCCTTTCAGCCGTGGGGGGCTTTATAATGTGACGGACAATCCTACTGGTAAAAGAGTAGTCCAAGAGTTGGCGGTGGTGGTGATGACTAGCTGCCTTCCCTCTAGTCTTTAACTGCTAAGTTAGGGATGGCTAGCGCAGATAGCCCTCGTGTAGCTTTGCGCGAAATTCAAAACCAATTCAAATATTCGTTAGGCCTAAGGAAGTGTTATAATACTAGATCTCTGATTATTGTTTGTATTATCTTACGTACTTGATAAGGAAAATTTGTAGGAAATGTTAAAATTGGATTGCCAAAAAAAAAGTCAGTCGATCGATCTCATCGTAGACCTGTTTTACCTATCCTATTACAATGAAGCTTGCGATGTAATACGTCCAAAACTCTCTGAACCTACCGCACCGATCATCACCAATGATAACTGGGTAATATTTTTATAACTAGGCAGTATTTTTATAGCTGAGCAATAAATAAAACACTTGAAATTTCCACAAAAATGATATGTTTCAGATTTAAACCAATAAAAGTTGCAAACAAAAAGGAGTAAGCTTCAAATATAAAACAATCAAAAAACAAACTTTAAAAAAATATTTGTTTTTCTTTAATGAAAAATCTCATGAGTGTTGCAAGAAAAAGAAAAAAAGCCAGGCACTTTCATTGATAACTGCGTCTACAAAGAAATACTTCAATAAAATCTACTCTGTGATGTAATGCTGTGATGATAGCTCATTTTGAAGTTAAAATTTCAGTAAAATCCTATTTCTCATGGATGGTGAACATTATTGAATGTGAAGTATGAGTACATTGTTGTAGAACTGTCAGACAATTCCAGAAAAGACTGCAGGCCCAATAGCCTTCCCCAGGAACTAACAGTTATACCTGCCAGTAGGGTGGGTATTTCTGCGAGTATTGTTAAAGTGTTTAGTTTGTTGAAAACATGCCATACATTAGCTACAATTTAGACAAGAGCGAAAGATGGATTGCAGTGATGACATTAGCTTATTTAATGTAGAATGGACTTTCCTCGAACTGGAGGGAGTTTTGTTTAGGCTAGAGAGTTTACGACGATTCTTGCCCTTCGCTGGCTTACTGGTAAGCCTGAAAGATCATAACGCTAAAAACCGCGTTTCGATACAGTTAGGCAAAGCACAGATAGCCCATTGTATAGCTTTGTGCTTAACAACAAATTATACTATTCGTTCGTTTAAACAGTTTTTTAACCATAATGTTAAACAATCAGCACAGTGTTCGAAGGATTATCTGTTAAACAATAGATACATACCTTCCAAGTATTATCTGTTAAACAATAGATACATACCTTCCAAGTATTATCTGTTAAACAATAGATACATACCTTCCAAGTATTATCTGTTAAACAATAGATACATACCTTCCAAGGATTATCTGTTAAACAATAGATACATACCTTCCAAGTACTTCTGTTAAACAATAGATACATACCTTCCAAGTACTTTTGTTAAACAATAGATACATACCCTCAAAGGATTATCTGTAAAATAGAATATTTCAAAATCTACAAGTGCAATTTATGTTAAAAGACACAGATATCCAACATATATTTGTGTGTGTGTATGATGAATAAAAATATCTATGTTACACGTTTATTATTATTTTGTAGTATGATTGGTAAAATTCCGCTATGCTATGTTTTCAGTGATGTAATTTTAAACTATTAAAACTTGATAGATAACGAACTGACTTACTGGTTCCGAGTGTCCTCACTCCTAGGAAACAAACAAACAATAAATTGATACAGTATACCAAGCGAATTGAAATGCGTAGATGAATTGGAAATTGTGACATTTAAAAACAGGCTCCGTTTAGTTCTGTTTTCATTCCTTCCCTAACTTATCAGTTACTAACGAAAATCTATAAAACAAACAAACAAATTACATAAAAACGCATTTATACACTGAGATTAAACTTACGTGTTGCCAGTACAAAAATTGTATGAAGGTGTGTGTTTACACGCGCATCAACATCACATAGCGGATAACGACTAATTCGAAAGTGTTAGCTTTTACAGGTCTGACGTCAGTAAGTTTTTTTTTCTCCTTCTTGAGGCTTGTTAATTATCACCCAATTCTTATCTTGGCAAAAAATGAAACAACTGTTCAACATCCAAGTAACATATAATGACAAACAGTTGTATTGCACTTTATAATACAAACATTTTTATCGAAAAGAATGGATTTTCAGCACGTGTTTAAAGGAAAGTTTTAGTTGTAAGAAAAACGTTACCTATCTTACCCGAGCTACTCTCGCCAACAGTATCTACACTGTTCGTAAATCATGATATTTGATAATTTAATAATATCTTAGATGTATAATAAAGATAAATGTGTTCAATTTATTGTCGTTTTACCGTCCATAGTAAAATAGTGATGGCTTAACTCTTTAACTTAGGCCTACTTTCTGTTCGTTAAGACGAATGAAACTGCCACGACTACACCTGTACGTTAAAATATGCCAGAGCGATAACAAACATAATCATGTTTAGTTTCAAATATACAACACAAACGCCATCTGTTTATACAACTTGGAGTTGTATTAATGTGTTGATATACATCTTTGTCTTGTTGTAAATCTGATTATTTGAAACAAGAAAATCGCGTGTTTTTAGCTTTAGAATTGTAAGCAAAAGAACAGCACTATTTCTCCGTCGTGCACATTATCTCGAAGGATCCATTATGAACGAGTGTTATTTTTGAAAATCTTCAAAACGTTTGAGGATAAATCAAAAAGCGTCCAGATATTAATGAAGCAGTGCAGCCTCCTTAATTATTTCCCCTCGATGTGGATTCCTGTACGTGGTGAGGGGACCTCCCAGGGAAGGTTCAGTATTTACAGTTACTTTCTCTGGGTATCTAAACA